GTCCTATATTGGCATGTGGGGCCATGGATTATTATTACTGCTGTTTGCCGTTATGCACAGTATGTGAACTTTCTGCAAACAAGTGTTTAGAGTTCAGATCAGTCGTACCAGTCAGGTCACCTTCCATACGCTCTCTGTTCCCTGTGTCCTGGCTGGTGCCTGTGATTTATTTTTGTGGCTTTGTGGTTTGTGATTTTTGAAGAGTTTGTATGACATGATGTAACAGATGAGCATCCGTGCATATTTAATATTACTATGGTACTGCTAAAATTCCATTCCATTAAGAACACTTCAAAACTCTGATGGTCACTGTACAATTCATCGAACAAAGCAAAGATTTGTCGCAGTAAAAATTCAAAACAAATATGTACATTGATAACACATGGTTTTAGTCAGTGTAAAGTACATTTTCTAATAAAAAAAATGATATTTAATATAGATTAAAATCCAGTCATGTGGAGGAGGCTAACAAGGAACAAGTGAGTTTTGAGCTTGGACTTGGAGGTCGGCAGGGAAGTTACGGGAGTTGTGGGACTGCATTCCAGAGGGGGCAGGAGTTGCGGGGGGGCAGGGGTATAGGGAGGGTGGCCATAGTGGACAGGTGGAGGAGAGGAGAGGGGGAACGAGGAGTGGGAGAGGCTGTGTAGAAAGATGAACACATTAGTGAAGTAATAAGATATATTTTAAAACCGAAAAATGTTCTAATTCTGTGTTTTAAATTTAAAGTAAATATGTGATTAACTAGGCCAGAAATCATTTAATTTAATTAATAATAAATAATATTTCAAAAATGTAACTGACTAAAATGATCAAACTCAAGTGAAATCAAACATAAACCCAAAGTTAAACTACATTTATTTGCCTGGTAATGCGACATAAACTGGCCTTCAACACTGCTGTTCAAATCCTCCTGAAATAAAACGTTTCGTGTTTCAGTTGAATTGCACTTTTTTTTTTAACTTTACTTTACTTTACTTTTAAACAGTTTTATTAGCACTTAATCTGGTGCTAGAAACTGTTAAACACCAGAGCTAAATCACAAAGGGCAGCGGAAATGATGGTTGATGAGAGTGTGACTCTGCTTCATTTGGCTCTTTATACCATTATCTTCTCAGTAACACACACACACACACACACACACACACACACTAATGTGGAGACCAGTTTTGGTTGATAATTGAGTGCAACCACAACCGTTTCTCCCCCGTTCCTCTCCTCTTTCCTTACTTTGAAAATTCTCCTCCAGCTTGATATGTATGTGTGCTGATGGCAACCAATTGCACTGAGACCCACTTCACCCAGACTTTGTGTTCCTAAAGCAAATTGCCCCATCTGTTAAAATGGAAAAGGTGATGCATCTGGAGGGATAAAACATTTATTGGAGGGCGATTTTTCATTAAAGCAAGGAGAGAGCTAACATCAATATTTCAATGGTGTGCTCAGTCTGTGTGTGTGTGTGTGTGTGTGTGTGTGTTTTCCCCTACAGTTTAGAATGATTGAATGTCTTCACCCTGACAGGTAAGGCTGCTGCAAACACAGTTATTTAACTCTATTGAGACACAGGGCAACAATAGCATTATTTCCAAACGACTGTGTTTTAATAATATTTTAAGTTAGGCAGAAAATGATTATCTAATTAATCACAGGGGAGCTGTGGATTAATCATGATTTATCAGGATTGAGCAAGAAAGAAAATACTCACGATTAATCATAAAAATTAAATTGACATCCTTGAATATGTCAAACAAATAATTTCTGTATTTCTCTGGAACTGAAAAATAAGTATCAGCAGGTAGATGCATGCGTTTGTGTGTCGCTAATTCAAATTATGGGATTATTATTATAGATAAACTTTTGTCTAATGCAGAGATTATTATTAATCTCTATTTAATATCTCCTCTAAAATGTCTCTGTCCATTCTTGTGTCCATTCATGCCTAGACCAAGTGGTTGGTTGGTCATGTGTTTTTATGGCCTGTGTAGAGCAGGGTCAAGATGTTGACCTCCAGACAATTCCATTCTCACACAGTATCACCTCATGATGAAGTGAAATGAATAAGAAATGAATGGAGGAGTCGTCCCATGTCTGTTTTCATCCTCCTGGATTCTGTCGTAGTCTTCTGCAATCATCACGCCAGTTACACTCTCCTCACACTGATGTGTCCCTTCTTAGAGTCTCAGCTCCTGCTGCGTTTCTGCTGCTGTAAGCCACTTTGACTTTTTCATCTGACACAGACTGTTTCAGAGTTCATGGTGTTGGTTTAAGCTTTTTTTATTAAATATTCAAGGGGAAAGAGAGAGAGAGAGGAGAGGAGGAGAGGAGGGACTTATAGGGAGAGGTTCACCACTTCCATCCATCTCTTCAGATGTCCCATAAACATCCCCGACTCCCGCTCTTC